GGCTGGATCAAAACAGTCCAGAACATGGATTTCGAGTTGTCTACTGCAAGGCACATGCATAAATGACGAAAGGTCTGGCTTGACTCAAGTTCTCAGGTGCTTTTTCCTGGGATGGGTCCTCCCCACCCCAGACAGTCTAGGGCACCTGACTAGGACTAGGGACAATCACTGGACACCAGTTCTGGAGACTAGTGGAAAATCCCACAGGTTAGAAATGACCTGGAGATGTCCCTGAAGACTAAATAGGGTCATGAGGGGAAGATCAAGGATGGGTACCAGGTCTCTCCTGCAGCCTCTCTTAGAGGTGTGGAGATGCTTTATTGAGGGATAGATGACAGGCCAGGGAACTCAGGACGAAGAGTCACCTGGGTTTCCACCTTTCTGCAAGTTAGGCTGATATGAAGCTCTCTGGGTCCTGGATAACAGGCTCCACATCCTCATCTCTAACTACAAAGAGCTGAACCTTCTCTGGGGACCAAGATCTCATGCCATTCGGCAATGATTTTACCCCCAACTTCTTCTCTAACGTGGGTCCCTAACATGTTGCACACGTGAGGGGCTAGAAGTGTAGAGGCTTTAACATGGGCTTCTAATTCCTTACAGTCAGAGACCGGGTGGTGGGGAATGCGGGTGGGTACGTTGGGTGTGGTTGGGGATATGGCAGGAGATGAACAGGACTGTTTTGCCCTTCAACTAGGCTGAGCAGAGAAGATCCAAATAAATGCAAGCCTTAATTTAAGGCCATACTTTCTGATGGCTATTAAACTTGAACCCTAAGGGGTAAACTGTGTTAAGTTTCACTTCCCCTGAAAAGACTACAATGCTTTTCTTGAAAACTGTAGCCTCACAACTAATTTGTCCCTTCACTGAGTTCTCTAGCACAGTGGTTCTCAAATTTGAGATGTACCAGAACCACCCGGGGGGCACGGGGGAAGGACACCCCTAGGGTTAAGTAGGTCTGGGCTGCGGCCTGAAGACATACATTCCTGGGAAGTTTCCAGGTGAGACTGACACTGCTACCATGGGACCATACTTTAAGAACTACAGCTATTAACACATACTCTCTACTTTATAATTTCGCAGTTCATCTGTATTTTGTCTAAAAATAGTTCAGAATTACTGTCTGCATGTTAGTCTGTCTTCCCAGCCAGATCTCAATTCCTTTGGGGCAGGGATTGTGAGTTATATATTTCCTCCCACATCAATTAGCATATTGTTGGACACGTAGATTAAATACTTATATAGTAGGTAAAACTTCAGAGAACTTGATTCCTTCAAGCAGACATAGGTCTATTATAGTTATTTTTAGGATTCCTACATTTTGCCAAAGATAGTCTAATTTTTTCACATCATTCACATTTGCATAGAAAAAAATCCTCATTTGCTTCAGCAATATCCCCAT